TCCTTGCACGTGCGGCTACCCCCGTAGCTCCCCTCCCCACACCTGCAATTTAAGCAGTGTGCAAGTCTCAGGAGTTTACCCCTCCCCGCACATGCGGTCCTAGCCCAGCTGCCCAGAATTTTCTGGTTTGACCCCCGGACACTCCGGACTCAACCGTGCATCCCCTGAAACAAGTGAAATTCAACACCGAACAAAACTAGAACAAGAATTTTATTTGAGGAAAAGCTTCCGAGTAACACAGACTCAAGAAAGACAGAAGTGAAGTGAAGTAAAACGAAACCGGTCATCACAGGAGAGGTGTTGTTGGGTCTTGTGGGCTTACTTTTGGATCTCATTTTGATAATTTGAACCATTTATATTTTAGGATTCATCGAGTATATCATCCTTGTAAAAAATCAGGTTGATCTGATAATGACAACCATGTGTTTGTATCAGTTTTGTAAGAAAAAAAAATGGATGGTGAGAAAATAAACAGTTCATACAAAATTGATCCAAACACATGATTGCCGTTATCTGATTGACTTAATTTTTTTGCAAAGATGATGTATTCATTGAACCCCAAAATGTGAATGTTCAGATCATCAAAACGGGGTCTAAAAATTGGTCCATTGAATGTTTAATCCAATAGAACCCCCCAAATTAGCTTATGCTAGCCATGAATCGATAAATTATTATATAATTTATACATAATGTTTAAAATTATTATTATCAAATATTTTTACTAAAATATGACATATAATTTAGGGAGGCTCTATCTTAGAAATTTTTTTATTATATGAATATATGTAACTATTTATTCATAGTGTTTACTAAAATATGACATATAATTTAGGGAGGCTCTATCTTAGAAATTTTTTTATTATATGAATATATGTAACTATTTATTTCATAGTGTTAATATAAATATGTAATTTTTTTACCTAAGTTCAAAATTTTTTAATAGCTATGCATAAAATATGTTCAGATTTCTTTTTAAAAAAATAAAAAATACTTATAGATATTTATTTACCAATTTAATAAATAAATAGGTCAAATGGTTCATAAGTTGGGCATAAACCAAGACAATTTTTAATGATTAGGTGAATGTCACATCGACATAAATATTTTAGATAAATTTTGTATTATTATTTAATTTTAAAATTAATTTTTAATTATTTATTCATACTCGTGAATAGCACTACCAAGACCACTTTACTCGCTCTTCACATAAAGTAAAAGAAAACTAACTAAGATTTCAAAAGAAAAGTAATTTTTTATATCTAGTAGTTTTAGAATACAAAAACTCCTAAAATTTATAAGTTATTGACACAAAATAAAATTAAAATTAAAATTAAAATTAAAATTAAAATTAAAATGAAACTAACTAAGTTTTTAAAAGAAAAGTGATACTATTTTTCTTTTATTTAGTAGTTTTAGAATATAAAAATTGTTGAACTTCATAGGTTATTGACACAAAACAAAATTAAGAAATACAAAGGTGATCCCTTGATTTTTTTTAATTAAATAGTTTTAGAATACAAAAATTGTTAAAAATTATTAGTAGTAGATACAAAATAGAGTTAAAATTTGCATTATAAGATATCAAAAATTCTTATTTTTTACTAAAAAAAAAATTATAGTTTTTATTTAACTATTATTTAATTTTTAACTTACTACACACCAGTTCTTATTTTTGAGGGGTTTTTTAATTTTTTTTTTTAAATTTCAAAACATTATAGGTGATTAGAGTTATATTAGATTTTTTTCCTAAGTTTATCTTATTTTATTTTTGAATTTTTAAATTTTAACTTGATTTTTTTTTTCAATCTTCATTTGATATTCACTGAATTTCTCTCTAACTCTTTTTCTAAAATTTATTTAATTTTATCTTTCTATATTCTTATAGTTCATCTTCAAATTTAAATTTGATTTATTTATTTATTTTTTTTATCTTTATCTTATATTTACTGAATCCATTGCCATTCTTGATTTTCAGTTGAATTTATTTTTTCTGAAGATTGATCTAATTTTCTCTTTCTATATTCATCTTCAACTTTAAACTTAATTTTTTTAATCTTTATCTTATATTTATAAAATTTCACTCTTACTCTTCCTTTTCAATTGAGTTTATTTGATTGAATGTATTTCAAAAAAAAATTAATTAGTCCTACATATTTATATAAATATAGTAAAATCACTCAAATATATTATTTAAATACCCATATAAATTAATACTATAATATTTAGTTAATTTTTAACATATTTAGTATTATTTATTATATTTTGTTACTTACCCGTGCATGGTATGAGTTTTACGCTAGTATATAACCAATGTAAATTAATGAGTTGAAGATCAAAAACTAATGTGAGTGTGTGAGTGAATTTCTGACCATACTGCCAAACTAGAACTCAGTTGGAGAAACATTGGCAGAATAGATCAAGCCCGAATGACCTGCAACAGAAAGAAGAGAGTCCGGCGGTAGTTCGTCCACCTGGAGGCACTCCGACGATCAAGTCAGTTATCTCTCGAAGATAGCAAAAGTGCTTAACTCACTATTCAGATTATCAAAAACATACCTTAGACTCATGAGGGTGCTTCTCTTTTATAGCCAACACAAACTTAATCCCAATAGAAGCCTAGCTTCAATGGACTTAGGATTACTGCCAATCTTGGACTCCCAGTAGGATTGGGATAAACTCTCTAAGAGTCTTATCTTTACCCAAACTAAAGTCCTCTCTCATTCTAGGACTTTTGTTCCTTATCCGCTTATCTCGGATTCCGGTATTCTCACTGATAACCTCGGCCTAACTGAGATCATCTTGGCGCCATGGCCAGGACACGTGACACCTCGGCTGGCATTTCGATGACACCTCGGCCACATGTTGGCACTCAAAAAATATGTCCCCACAACTGCCTCCTAGGTTCTATTACCTCAGCATCCTGAGGTGATGGAACCTATATTGTCATACTGTATAACATGTCGGCTAACTTGCTCTATTATTCATTACCGAGGTCATCATTTGTCGGCTCCACATGACCAAGACCTGTAACATGTTTTCATCAACGCCTCAGAACCATTAGCCAAGTTTGTTCAAGTTTCTCAGTCGAGATCATCCTCCAAGCCGAGGTACTGTTTCATTAAATCAAGAACTTCAAGAACTTCTTCATGCGTATGAGCTGTCACGCACAAGAACTCAACCGTTCTTGCCACACGTCTTTCCCTTTCTGGGCTGTTCGTGACACGCGCCACTAAGTTGCATCGTTTTTTCGTGCTCCGTTTGACACGCTCGTTGCCTTAGGCACATTAATTGCCTTTTTGCCACTGTTTCGTGTTTTTAACAAAACTCATTCTCTCTCTCTTTGCCGCTTCACTTTTGTATCTTCTTTCTCGTGCAAACTCTCTCTCTCTACTCTCCTAAATTCGCCATTGTTTCCAAGCTTTTCAAGCTCTACAACTACTTCCAGTCTTCCCCTCTGGTGAAGCTCTTGTTGATCTTTTCCGACTACTGTCACTATCTGACTCTGGCGTGCTCAACAACGGCTTCATTTCTCTTCGGTGAGCCACTATTTCCCCCTTTATCAGTTTGTGTTTTTCTTCAAAAAAACTTTACTGCATTACTCATTGCCATTGCTATTTTGTTCAAGTTCTTGATTGTGAATCATGTATCCGAGCACGCTTATTTTATGATTTTGCTTTTGCCTAATTCGTTTCTTAAATACACACTGTTCATCTATTTGTTCATTTTTGCCACTGTTCTTGGCTTCGCACCTTTGTACACACTTTGTCACAATGTTTTTGATAGTTCATCCCTGTTCTTGATTATGTTTTCTGTGTCTTTTCCAGATCTTCGCCTTCAATCCTTGTTTGCCTAGACTTAGGTTTGGGATTTGTTTGTAGAATCCACAAATTTTAGGAAAAACTGAAACATAATTCACTTAGATCCTCAGAATTTCTTGCCCCAACATTCTTTTAGGTTTTGCCGAGGTCCCTCCAACCATTATAAAACACACCCTTTTGAAATTCAGCATCTTCACCCCAAGCCGACATCATGGGTATGTGGAGGCATAGGGTAGACACCCCAACCAAGTTATCATACTTTAGGCAGGTATTTTCCATCCCAGCTGACGTTCACCTTAGATTGGTTGGGGAGGACAACTTTATCATGCCCACAGTCAACTCCATGCCCCTCCCAGTAGTAGCCTTGGCATCTTCTTTCGAGAAGATGCCCAACCCAATGCAGTTAGGTTCCCTCTTGACATCTTCTTTCGAGAAGTCCTCCATTACTATAAGCTCAACCCAATGCAGTTAGCCATCAACTCCTACCGAGTTATCAATGGTATCGTTGCCTTAGCACGCCGAGAAAAAACTAGGGTAACCTTGGCCGATATCCAATATTGTTACACCATGTGTGGCCTTAGTTTAGAAAAAGGCTATGTTTACTATCTCAAGCCGAGGTCAACACAATACAAACTCATTGCCGACCTCCCAGACTCCAACAAGGGAGCCGGGGACGATTACTTCATTGTTTCGGGCAACTGGGAGTTCGTTCTAGACGAGAACCTTCACCTCTACCCTCTTAGCCGAACAGTATTCATAGAGGGTAATGGTAAGAGCCAAGTGTTGTATTTTACTTGTTTCTTCAAGCCTTCAATACTCTGTTCTTCCTTTATATTCTAACGTCTATTTTTCTTGCAGCTCTTCCATAGCCACCGAAAGACTTCCGAAAGTCCTTTTTCCCCAGCAAGGATCTTAAGAAGTTGTTGGATCTTCCAGTCCATAGGCAGAGAGCTCCTCTACTGCTCAACTTCATCCTAACCTACAAGTCGGTACTTCTCGACGTCCCAAGGAAGCAGAAAAAGCAAGTCTCCTCCTTCCGCCACAACTCCACCAACAACTTCATCATCTCGGCCAGATTAGGGGTCAACCTCAGATCTAGCAGAACAACCATCTACCTTGGCTCCACAGCTGATCCCACCATCGCAATGCCGACACCGACGCCGAATAGCAACTGTCGCCGAGATGGGTCGCAAGAAAGCAGTTGCAGACGATCTTCTGGCCGACATCCCTGACACCGTTAACGCTCAACCAACACAATCCCAGCCTCAACCAAAGCCAAAGCCCAAAAGAATGAAGAAAGCCCAGCCTAAGGCAACGGTGACTCAGATTGACACTGAGGACACCTTGCCAATTTCAAAATTGTCCGAGAACAGGAAAACCTCCTCCATCCCCGAGAAGAGGCCCGCCGAGGCCGAACCATCCCAATCAACTCGGTCGAAGAGGCTGAGGTCAGAGTCGGCCACAACCTCGGGGCCCATGAAATTAGACGACCCGTGGGCTCCCCCGATTACTATCGAGGACAAGCCGGTCAGAGTGGGTGACAATGCGACTAATCTTGAAGTCGGCGTTGCCCTCTCTATGGCTCTACTTCTACCGAACGATCTTATCCGTAACGTCGAGATGAGCGAATATGAAAATTTCGCCTTGATGCTGTAGCACTCCATTCAAGTAAGTCCCTTCACTCGGTATTTTTTTCTTTCTCTGTTTTTCTATACTTAGAAAATTTTTGCTAACTTGTATTCTGCCCATCCTCTCTTAGGCGATCCAACACGCCTACTCCTACTCTATGCAAGCTTTTGAAATAAGGAAGGAGTTGGCTGACAAGATGAGAGAAGTTGCTAGTCTACAAAGGACCATTAAGAAGGCTAAGGCCAAGATGAAGACTTTATCAGACCAGGCCGAGGAAGCCATAAAAGCAAATGATGAGGCCGAGGAAAAGGCTGATGTTGCCGAGGCCATTGCTAAAGTCCTTACGACTGAAAAGAAACAAGCCGAAGAAAAGATGGCCGCGGCCCAAAAGGAGCTTCAAGGTGCCCTGGCCACAAAAGACAAGTAAGTCCCTTCACTCGGTATTTTTTTCTTTCTCTGTTTTTCTATACTTAGAAAATTTTTGCTAACTTGTATTCTGCCCATCCTCTCTTAGGCGATCCAGCACGCCTACTCCTACTCTATGCAAGCTTTTGAAATAAGGAAGGAGTTGGCTGACAAGATGAGAGAAGTTGCTAGTCTACAAAGGACCATTAAGAAGGCTAAGGCCAAGATGAAGACTTTATCAGACCAGGCCGAGGAAGCCATAAAAGCAAATGATGAGGCCGAGGAAAAGGCTGATGTTGCCGAGGCCATTGCTAAAGTCCTTACGACTGAAAAGAAAGAAGCCGAAAAAAAGATGGCCGTGGCCCAAAAGGAGCTTCAAGGTGCCCTGGCCACAAAAGAGGTTAAGATCAAGGCCGCCGATGAGAAGGCGTACGCAGAGGGGGTGGCCGGCGTCAAGGAGGACTACAAAAAACAGGTGAAGCAGGCATGCAACGAGGGTTTCACCCTTGGTTAGATGGCTGCCCTGAAAAAGTTGGACGTCCCCAAGGACTCCCCCCTCAAGAATGCTGACAACCTCCCCCTGCCATTCCCACCTACTCCAAGCCAATCCGAAGACGATTCTGAGTCCGAGGAGGAAGCTTTGGTTAGGAAGAAGAAGGACGCTGCTGGGGCCAAGTTCCCTACTCTGAACGGGCAAGTCCTGGACTTGACTCAAGATGAGGAGGGTGAGGTCTCCAAAGATGCTTCCTCCCAGAAGACAAACTCCGAGGTGCCAATCGCCGAGAAGAGTCTCGATCAAACTCTACAGGAGATCGATGCTAAGCTTGCGGCTGAGAAGGCTGCCGAAAGAGTTCCCAAATGTCCTTTGGAATTGAGACCCAGTCCGCCGTTGACGCCGAATAGTCCATTTCTCTTTATTTCTTGTACCTCGTACTTTTTTTTCTAACTTTTGAAACAATGTTTTTAATTTGGCCGACATGCCACTTTTTGTAATTCGCACTTTTTGTATGTAAATACAACTTCTTCTTTTGAATGCTTGTATGCTTAGAATAATTTGCATGTCTTCAATTTATGCCTTTCTTGTATAATCTCCTTGGACTGAAATACCTTGGACAAGACTTCCAACCCTGCTTATCTAGGCGAGTACACTTGTACATCTTTCAATATTCCATTGGCTGAACTTGTAAATTTTTCACAAAAATTTCAACAAGTGTCAAACCAATCTTCCTTTTACATGACCTTGGATTCAGTTCAACTTGTAAATTTTCCATAAATTTTAATAAGTGTTCAAACATGACTTTGGTTTAACTTCAACTTGTAAATTTCTCATAAATTTCAACAAGTGTTAAACATGACCTCGGTTTAACTTCAACTTGTAAATTTTTCATAAATTTTAATAAGTGTTAAAACCAATCTTGGCTTGTAAATTCTAGCTCTTCAAGCATTATTCTTTAGCTATCTACCCTCTAATGTGAACCTAAGTTCCACTTGGGTTCTCATTAAGCATGTACCAATGATCTTTTCACCGAGATCAGATTCAAACAGAGATAGGCCGAGGTCATAAACCTCGGTCTTCCTGTTAATCTGAGTGATATAGGTTAACTCAACTTAGTTCAACTCTATTATATGCAAGTATAATTCAACTCTGTCATATAATAAGTCTAAGTTATTCGTCATGTTTCAAACAGAAACATCGCCGACTTAGTTCAACTCTATTATATGCAAGTAGGAACTCTGCCATATAATAAGTCTAAGCCATTCGTCATGTTTCAATCAGAAATATCACCGATTTAGTTCAACTCTATTATATGCAACTAGAAACTCTGCCATATAATAAGTCTAATCCATTCATCATGTTTCAATCAGAAACATCGTCGATTTAGTTCAACTCTATTATATGCAAGTAGAAACTCTGCTATATAATAAGGCTAAACCATTCGTCATGTTTCAATCAGAAACATCGCCAGATTACTGATTAGTCAAACTACACAAGTTTAAAAATCAAACTAAAACTTTATTATTACTTTGGCTAATACAAAAAGCTTTAAAAATAAGAAAATCTAATGATAGAGAAACTTCAAATTGAAAGTATTCCATGGTCTTGGCAACTCTTTGCCTTCACTGTCTTCAAGCCGATATGCCCTATTGCCTAAGACCGAGATGATTTTGTAAGGTCCCTCCAAATTTGTGCCAAGCTTGCCCTCTCTGGGATCATTCTTATTGCCGATGACCTTTCTCAGGATGAGGTCCCCAACTTGGAACTCTCTTGGGCTGACCTTCTTATTATAAGCTTTAGCAAGCTGTTGCTGGTATGCCCCCAGCTGAATTGCTGCCTTCTCCCTTCTTTCCTCCAATAGGTCCAGATCTCGGGCTAAGAATTCATCATTAGTTCCATTCTCCACTATTAGTTCCATTCTCCACTCCTTGGGTTCTGATCCCTGGGATGCCGACCGCTAATGGGATTACTGCCTCTGTGCCAAAAGCCATGGCAAATGGGGATTCCCCAGTTGATCTTCTCAGCGTTGTTCGATATGCCCAAAGTACACTGGGCAACTCATCCACCCATTTACCCTTTGCTGCTTCCAGCCTCTTCTTAATCCCATCCAAGATGGTTTTGTTGGATGCTTCTGCTTGTCCATTGCTCTGAGGGAAGCTTGGAGTGGAATAGTAGTTCTTGATTTTGTATTTTGCACAGAAGCTCTTGATTAGCTTACTGTCAAACTGTGTACCATTGTCTGCTACTATTGCCCTTGGGATCCCAAACCTAGTGATGATGTTCTTCCATATGAAGTTTTTTACATCAACATCTTGAATCTTTGCAAGAGGTTCAGCTTCCATGCACTTGGTGAAGTAATCTGTTGCCACTAGCAGGTACTTCCTTTGTCTAGTTGCTTGAGGCAGCTGTCCAACAAGATCCATGCCCCATTGGGCAAATGGCCAAGGGCTGGACACTGAATTTAGATCTGCTGCTGGTTGGTGTATCAAAGGTGCAAACCTTTGACACTTTTCACATTTTCTAGCATAGGCTTCGGCATCTTTCTGCATATAGGGCCACCAGTACCCCTGTGTAATGGCCCTATGAGCAAGTGACCTGCCCCCAGTATGACTTCCACATACTCCTTCATGTATCTCATACAAGAAGTCTTCAACTTGCGAAGGATGTACACACCTCAAAAGGGGTCCAGTGAAAGATCTTCTGTAGAGATATCTCTCTGCTGTCAGACTGAATCTTGCCGACTTCAGTTTGATCTTGTGTGCTTCTTTAAGATCATCTGGCAGTTTTCCCTCTTTAAGGAATACTATTATTACATCCATTCAGCTTGGTCCCATATCCACACACATTGTTTCATGCTCTGTGTTCAGTGGTTTTATGCTTGGGCCCAACAAGTATTCAATCATTATTGTCCTTGCCTCTCCCGGTTTCATTGCACTAGCCAGGTTGGCCAAGGCATCGGGATGGCTGTTGTCATCTCGGCTAACCTGCTGTAGTTGACAATTCTGGAATAAGGCTACCAATCTGCCCACCTCCTTTGCATATGCCGGCATCCTTTCATCTCGGGTAGCGAATTTGCTCGTTACTTGGTTGACAATAAGCTGTGAGTCACAGAAGACTATTACCTCGTCAGCAACCATTGCTATTGCCAACTTTAGTCCTGCGATCAGTGCTTCATACTCTGCTTCATTGTTTGAGGCCTTAAACCCCAAATGGATGGATTGTTCCAGTATCTGCCCATCAGGAGATACTAGCACTACTTCTGCCCCCGCTTCTTGTCGGTTTGAACTCCTATCAACAAACAGTCGGAAAGAGTCGCCGATGTAAATACTGCAGGGCCTAAGTTTCTTTTCTTTCCTCTGTTTAGCTGTCCCTAGCTGGGTTTCTCCTTGCTCACCTAGACATCACACACCTCGGCTCAACGGAGCTTGATGTATGATGATACCTGGCGTGAACTCGGCCACGAAGTCGGCCAAAACTTGGCATTTGATTGCTGTTCTGGGTCTGAACTCCAAGTCATATTGGCCCAAGGCCACCGCCCATTTGGCTATTCTGCCTATCAGATCTCCCTACTATAACAGGGACTTCAAAGGATGCTCAGTTAACACCACAATTTTGTGGGCTTGAAAGTAATGATTCAGTTTATTGGAAGCCATTACTAAAGCCAGTGCTAACTTTTCCAAGGGGGTAGGTATCTGGTCTCTGCATCTGCTAGGGTTTTATTCACGTAGTAAACTGCATTTTGCTCTCCCTTTTCTTCTCTAATCACTACTGCACTTACTGCATGTTCTGAAACTACCAAGTATAAGAACAGCTCCTCTCTGGGTACTGGATTTGAGAGAACTAGAGCCGTGGTCAAATACTTTTTCAAGTCGGCCAAGGCGACTTCGCATTCTTCAGTCCATAAGAAGTCTGTGGCTTTTTTTACTAAGTTGAAGAAAGGTTTGTACTTGTCAAAGCTTCTGCTTATAAATCTATTCAGGGCTGTAGCCCTTCTAGTCAACATCTGCACTTGCTTTGCCGATGTTGGGCTCTTTAATTCTAAGATGGCCTTGATTTGATCCGGGCTGGCCTCAATACCCTTTCTGGTAACCAAATACCCTAAGAACTTACCAGACCCAACTCCAAATGCACACTTTGATGCATTGAGTCGGAGCGGATATGTTCTAAGGATGTCGAAAACTGCCTTTAAGTCTTCTAGATGATCCTTAATGTTCCTTGGTCTTCACGACCATGTCATCTATATATACTTCCACTGTTTTGCCGATTAGATGTTTGAGCATCTTGGTTACTATTCTCTAGTAAGTTGCTCCTGCATTTTTCAACCCAAAATGCATCACTCTATAGCAATATAGCCCATTAAGGGTGATAAATGCAGTCTTCTCTTCATCTGAGGGGTACATAGCTATCTGATGGTACCCCCTGTATGCATATAGGAAGCTCATCCTTTCATGCCCTGAAGTGACATCTACCAGTTGGTCAATCTTGGGTAGTGGAAGCTGTCTTTGGGACAAGCCTTGTTCAGGCTGGTGAAGTCCACACAGACCCTCCACTTTCCATTCTTTTTCTTTACGACCACCGTGTTTGATAACCATGTCGGGTAGTTTACCTCTCGAATGGCCCTAGCCTCCAGAAGTTTGTACACCTCCTCTTCTACTGCCTCGACATGCATCAATGTTAGCCTTCTTGCTCGCTAGATGGCAGGTTTAGCCGACCTGTCCACGTTCAGTCTATGGCATGTGACCTCCAGGTTAATGCCAGGCATCTCATACGGCGTCCAGGCAAACACCTCAATGTTTGCTCTCAAGAATGCCTCTAACTCTTTTTCCTCTTCCTCGGCCAAGATTGAGCTGAGAAGGAAGAAGCGTTCTTCGTCCCCTTGCTGGACAAGGATTTTCTTCAGGGCTTCCTTGCTCTTCTCGACTGGCTTTTTGCCGACATCATCTAGGGCTTCCACGTCGTTATCTTCAATCTCCGCAGCTTCTGCTTCTCATATGTTGTAGGTTGATTTCATTGCTGCC